AAAGTAAGAGAAAATACAAATTGCAAAAAAACCGATACAAGATTTAAGAACTAAAATATAGCAATTCCGAACAATAACAACGTACTACAGTAGAGTGTTGCATAGCCAGCCACTGAGTGTCACTTCTGAAACCCAAAGGAGTGGAACGATAGAGTCCTGTGGACGAGTAGATTGCCCTCCTCCCCGGCAACGACAAAACGATCATTGTCTGGCAGATTGGTTGTGGGTCGGCGTAAATTCAATAAAAAAATGGTTGGTATGGTATGCCAGAATTGCTCATGCTCTTTAGCAATTAGATCAAATGGGCAAAGAGTGAGAAGATGGCTGGTATTCTGAAGTTATCAATTAAAAACAGAAAAGACGGACTGTTTTCTAGGCGAGGGGTAGCTGCACTCTAAAAAGAAATAAAACACAGAAAGGCTGAGTCCACAGCTTGTCCCTTCCCGGCCAATACCATTCTTACCCGAAGTGGAAGAAGATCAAAATTACAAGTCTAAATTTAAATTCCAACTCTCCTTCATCCTCAGTTTCAACTACACATTCAAATTCAAGCACGTTTTATAAAAAAAAGGTATAAATAAAGTTGCTTAAAATTTGGAGTTTTAAAACATTGCATTATTCTAAGAGAACCTGGAAGAACATGAATACGACTACTAAGAAATCTTGTTACTTCGACCTGAATGTCAATTATACAAATTTGAAATGACCATGCAAAATCAGTGTGGAACAAAATCGCCAATTATGATAAGAATGGCAGCTTTGCATGGCCTGTTCTTAAGTTCCACCACACTTTGCAGGGTGGATTTAAACCGAAAATTTTAAGTTTCCGCAGGAACAACAAATAAACAGGTGACCGTTGCGGATCAATGCAGTCCTCCTTGATTTTCCTTTCTTGAATTTTGGACATAATCCTCTCTTGAATTCAAATCCAACGAAAAATTTTAGGCATCTTTGCAGCATGTTTTCGGTAGGAGAAAACTTATTATCTTATTGTAAACTCTCCAACAGATTCTGTAGGTGAAATACTACGGTATTAACAAAAGGAATCTTTCCTCTAGAAGTTCTGAAAGTACCCGGCAACGGCCTTTGCCACAGAAATGGCAGTGAACAGAAAAACTAATCGAAAACAGATAAAAAAATAAGAAGGGAACTAATCGGACGAATAAAATGATATGGTTGTAGTGCTTCCAGCACGTTCGTCCAGAATTAATGTGATGGCTGCTAAGAATGCAGGGGTTGAGTTTCGTCCCTGCAGATACTCTTGGATTTGTTCGGTCCACTGAACTGCATAATCTGTTTCTAGCAAGCTAATCGTTTTCCCATTGTCATTAACCTAAAAAAAAATTGTTACAAGTACTACTCAAACAGAAAAACATGAAAAATCTCAATCTAACAAATTACTTTAGAAGAGCTTCAAAATTAAGCGATTACCAAAGAAATGGCACAAATACATAGTATAGAGGACAAGTGCCAACTGAAGACACCGATATTAAATTCCATTTAATTTTAACTACCTTATTTTGTTACTACAGTCGTCGTACTGACGAGGTGCAATTGTGGTAACGGTAAGAAATATATACGACTTAATGGACCGAAACATTTCTTACCAATTTAAAAAATTATTAATAATTTTTCCCCTTTTCTTTTTGGTTGGTGAATTACTCACTATTTTAAATAACAACAATGCAACCTAACAATACAGCGCTATCTAGTGTGAGGTACTACTCTGCGACAGTGGTTCTTCAAACTAATATTACAAGATAAAACTTTTCTGATACCCTGAAAATGAAATAATTGCCAGGATCGAAGATACTTTCCACTTGCACCGTATCATCGCCTTTCATTTTGATCTGCAGACCTGAGAGTGCTGTCACGCATGCACGGTACTTCTTCACCAAATCACTGTGTATCTTCACCACTCGGTCTTTCTCCTTTTCTGCTTTAAGCAACTGATATTGTAGCTCTGAAGTTTTATTTATGTGCATGAGCTGTGTTAATATAAGAGTACTTATAAAAAAAAGAGTTGGCCATATCACAATATCAACTCACGAATTCTATCTCGATCCTTTAGCACAGGCAAATGCGCCTTTGGCGACATGCGGGCCTGATTTACATACTTACTTAAGCTCACGGGCCATCTTTCAATAAAACCCAGGTAGCAAAGCACTAGACTTATTCGTGCGGTTATGCATTTTTGCGCTAAACTTGATGCAGTCAAATCGTTAGCAGTATGAATGGTTGTTGCTTTACAGTTTAACATGTGCAACTCATGTGCCTCATGTGTCGTGGCCTTTTCTTGTATGCGAGGGAAAAGGATGTCGGCTGGGACGGTAGTATTGCATCATGGCTCTCTCGTTGCTGAGCTGCATGTGAGTGAGAAAGATAATGTGAGCTCTGGGCTTGAACATTTGATACAAGATTGTTGAAATTTGGATTTATATCACTGACACAGAGTCTCAAAGTATTCCCCACACTGTCGTCTGTTAGCCTCGTGCATATTTTAGCTATATTTATTTTATGAGTGCAGAGACATGGCGGAGTACAAACACCCGCTTGTCTAGTTAGGCACCACATTCCGATTCCCTCCACAGACCGGACTGAAAATGGTCATGGACCGTATCCAAAACGCGGGCCGCCTGCTGTCCATCTGTGCTTTAACAGTTTTAATTTTCCAAACTGTTAAAGCAGCAGAAAACACCATAAAGCTGTTGATGCAGCTGGCAATTTTTCTGAATTTAAGCAAGCAAATAAACCTTACCGGTAATTTGTTTAGTCATGTCGAAACGCTCCCTCTTTCGCAAACTAACGTCCAAATTATCGTCACATTCATATACGTTCTAAAACAAGTTTTCCATCAGAAAGCACGATTATAAATTGCTACTGTAACGTACGGAAAATGTTTCAAACCCAAATGTATATCCCCGGGAAAGTGCACTAGTAAAGCACCAGTCCGATGCCCGAGGGAATTCCTACTTGAAAAATTTTTGGCGCATCATTTTCAGCTGGTGACGCGGAAATACAGGATAATCACTGACTGATAAGTCCATTAGACTCAAAAAAAATTCGATCCCTCGTCAATAGGAAAGTAAAAGATAACAAAGAAATGAATGTCAGGATTGCTAAAAAGACGATCATTAGTCAGTGCATTTGATCGCAGAAGCCAGTAAAAGAAGTAAACTATGCAGATGTTGTGAAAATAAGCTGCGATGAACGACAGTCGACACAATATCAGAATATGTTCCAGTAACAAGAAAAAAAAATTATCACAAAAATAATCCGTTTAAAAAATACCGTCTTCCGTTTTCTGCTTCCTTGAAACTCATTATATTCTTGATGCGCAAGATCCAGAGGATTCATCCGAAGATGCAAAATTTTAACAGATGACTCCACTTCCTAAATTTTGGGGTAATTTCTCATTATACAGGTTTCTGAGCAAAAACATATCCATAAAAATATTA